AATCTAGATCGTCCTCATGAACCAGAAAAAGTGCCAAGAGCACCTCATGACAGGCGGAGAGAATGGCAGAAGCTGGCCCAAGGTCCAGAGCTGGCTGAAGATGATGCTAATCTCTTACATAAGCATATTGAAGTTGCTAATGGCCCAGCCTCTCATTTTGAAACAAGGTTTCTTTTCTTTTGCTTGTTTTTTAAAAAAAAAATAATGATAAAACATTGACTTTATTTGTAAAATTTGTACTTCTAAGTCTTGGGTCCTAAACTGTTGAACTGGCAGACCCCATTATAAATACAGATGATTTCAAAATCTTGACTACTGTGAGCGTACTGAAGTATGACCTTGAGCAGGTCATGTTCATACCTGGATCTTAGTATTGTCTTCTGTAGAAAGAGGTGTTTAAAATAGCTGATCTTCAGCTCTCATATTAAGTCTCAACTCCCTGTCAATATTTCAGGCAGAATCTGCTAGAATTTCATAATAGATGAGTGAGGTCTAGAATTTTTTTGAAATATTATTGATTCATTGCATGTAAAGTAGGAGTTGAGGAGGGATTCTATTTTTTTCCTTTTTCTTTCCCCTAACTTTCTTTCTTTGCCACATCTCCCCATCTCAGATATATCAGGGCTTTCAAGCAAAATTACTTATCCCCCTTTTAAGAAGTATAGAATAGGCCCTTTTCCTTTCTGAGTGGCCAGTGGCCCTATCTAAGTAGCATTCTACCCCCATAGCAAACACACTAATGTTTTGCTGGCATCTCTCTGTGTAGACATTTATTTGGGTATAGTCATTGATTTTTGAATGGAAGAGTGCTTAAGGTTTTCTTTTGAATAATAGATGTAAATTATTGGGACATAAATGTGAAATAACTCTACTTGTTTTTAGGAGAAATATATATCTGAGAGATACTAGTTATCTGTATTACCGAAAGAAAGAAATGGAACAAATTGAACTTTTAAAAATTAATAATCTGTAGACAGGCATTTGTTTCTATTATAGTTGAGAAAGATGTTTATCTAAGTCAATAGTAGATCCAGTACTTTCTGACTTGCACATCTATTAAATCCAGTTTTGTCCCCCAAATGCACTATAGCAGGTAAATAGTTATAAACTTTCACATGCTCAAGGTGTCTAAAATCTTACTTCAATCTGATCTAAGTCACACGTTGCTGTTCTACTCAGCTATTTTCTGAGCACCCTAGCACCTTTGAAAACTCCAAAAGGGCAAAAATGATGCAGCTAGCCATCTCTGTGATGCTAGCATCTGAGAGACCTTTCTTCCTGGTACAAGATTTGAAGTCATTTAGGTTTAAGAGAGCAGCAAGATACCCGAGTGATAGAAAATTACAGTTTTCATAATCTGCCTTTCTGTCATTGGCATCTTCTTATAAAGAAAAAAAATGAAATAGAGGTAGATAGCTTTGAGCATGATTTGCTAAAAGTTAATTATTGTGTATGAGATTACATATGTAATACTTTTATCCTTGTGAATTGAATTAGTATTTTATTGTAAAATAATAAAATAATTGATGGCCATTATAATACACCTAAATTAGCTTGTGAGTAAAGGTTGCATTGTGAGTGGCATTCTTTGTCTTAAAAGCAGGAGTAATATAGTAAATTTCTGAAAGAAGTTTCTTAAAAGTAGTTAAAATATTGACATTCCAAGGATAAACTTTAAGTATCTCGTATAGAATGCTTTTCCCCTGTAATTCAAGAACAATACGCTGACATTGTCTGTTTGTTTTAGACCTCAGACATATGTGGATCATATGGATGGATCTTATTCACTGTCTGCCTTGCCATTTAGTCAGATGAGTGAGCTTCTGACTAGAGCTGAGGAAAGGGTCTTGGTCAGACCCCACGAGCCTCCTCCGCCTCCACCAATGCATGGAGCAGGAGATGCAAAACCCATACCCACCTGTATCAGGTATGTTGCGGCAAGTGTGATGTTTTATCTTAGGAATCACTCAGCTTTCCTCTAAAGGACCAGAGAGTAAATATTTTAGGCTTTCTGAGCATATGGTTTCTATTACAGATATGAATTCTGCCAGTGTTTCCTGAAAGCAGCTATAGACGATACATAAACAAATGAATGTGTCTGTATTTCAGTAAAACTCTATTTACAAAAACAGGGAGCTTGTCAGATTTGGCCTTTCGGACTTAATTTACCATCCTCTGATTAGAGCTGACACATTCTCCTGGGAAAATTTAGCTAATAAGAGTTTACTTTAAAGATTAAAGTGTGTTTCATTTTGTTATAGCTTTGTTATCAAGCATTCATGTGCAGTGTATTAAGAAAAATTAAGAATTTTTGGAATGTGACAAAGGTCTTAGAAATGAGAACCAAAGATATGGTTGTGAATGTTAAGGAAAATACTTTTAAAATTTTGGAGAGAATTGACAGTTACTCATAATAATCTTTCAGTAAAGCTATTTTTGAAGTTTAATCTTTTCAGTAATTATCCAAATTATGCATTTTTAATAGAGAAATATAGAAATTTTCTAATAGAGAATAGAGATCAGGAAGAAAGAGGACTGTACATTTCTTTTTGTAGTTTGTAATTAGCTGTCATTGATTTAACTGAAATGACATACAGTGAGACTTAATAGCTTCAATGTAAATATGGCATTGTATTGGCCACTAGTACTGCTGCAAGATTGCAGTATGATAAATGTTGAGTCATTACAGACTCAGATCACAGCGTAAAAGTGAGCATTTTATTTATCAAAGTAAGCATAAAATGTCTGAGAGTATATGAAAGCTGCATGAAAGGATGATTGTTTACAATATTACAAACCAAAGCACCGTTTATTAACTTTTTTGTTGCTACCCTTTTAGTTCTCTTTTTTTGTAAATACTGTTGAAGAACTCACATTTTTACAGGAACGTATTAATACATCTACTTTGGTATAGCTATTGATAGTCATCTATTGATTGTGTGGTTAGGTTTTAATAACTCGCTAGGATCTCTTTATCGTTTCAGTTCTGCTACAGGTTTGATAGAAAATCGCCCTCAGTCACCAGCTACAGGCAGGACGCCCGTGTTTGTGAGCCCCACCCCCCCACCTCCTCCACCACCTTTGCCATCTGCCTTGTCAACGTCCTCATTAAGAGCTTGGATGACTTCAACTCCTCCCCACCAGTGCCTCCCCCGCCCCTGCCCCCAGCCCCTCACTGCCTTGCAGGCTCCGGCCGTCCCCCCTCCTCCTGCTCCTCTCCAGATTGCCCCTGGGGTTCTCCACCCAGCTCCTCCTCCCATCGCACCCCCTCTAGTGCAGCCCTCTCCACCGGTAGCCAGAGCTGCCCCCGTATGTGAGACTGTACCAGTTCATCCACTCCCACAAGGTGAAGTTCAGGGGCTACCTCCGCCCCCCCCACCGCCTCCTCTGCCTCCACCTGGTATCCGACCTTCATCGCCTGTCACAGTTGCAGCTCTTGCTCATCCTCCCTCTGGGCTCCATCCAGCTCCATCTACTGCCCCAGGTGCCCATGTTCCATTAATGCCCCCATCTCCTCCATCACAAGTTGTACCTGCTTCTGAGCCAAAGCGCCATCCATCGACCCTACCTGTAATCAGTGACGCCAGGAGTGTCCTGCTGGAAGCAATACGAAAAGGTAATTTTCTCAGGGCCATGAAAAGCATTGCTAGAGTAGCATCGACAACTTTCTAAATATTGAAGACAATGTGTTCCGCATTAATAACATTTTAGGTGGTCATGTTTTTGTATAAACAACCTTTGGGAAGTAAAGCTGTGTTCTACTTACATTTTAAATCAGTTTAAAGAAAATATCACATTGAGTCATTTTATTTTTATACTTTGTAGGGCTTCTTAAAATGTTTATTGAGTGAATGAGAAATCTAAAAATGTTAGACTTAAATGTTATATAATATTTAATTAAAACACTGTGTTATGCTTAGTATATATATGTCACGCCCTTAAAAAGTGTATTTTCTTAACTGTTAAGGCTACCCATTTGGGGTATCAGTGATGTTTGCTCTACCAGATGGTCTTTAAAGGACTACGGGTCTTTTCTTAGTAACAAAAGAAAGATTTCTCTTCTTCATTCATTTATTCAGTCAGCATTTTCTAAGCAACTACTATATGCCAGGCACTAACAGTACAGAATGAATAATAGTGCCTTTCCCTCAAGTACAGGGACAATGAAGCCACAAGAAATATATTGAACAATGTTTAATTTACTTGACCATAGAGGTGATAGAAGCAATGTATCACTTGGTTGGCCTTTTAGGGAGTGGTGAGCAGGAAAGTGCAGTAGACCAGAATAGATAAATACCTTGTAGCGATTCCCTGGGATGTCCAGTAAATTTCACCAACTAACATCACAGATGATCACATAATGAAAGATTTAGTGCCTCGCTAAATATCATTCCTTCAAATTCTTCCTAATAAATTTTTGTTTTCCTATTAGTATTTCTCATGTGTATTTTACTTTATTTTAGAGAGTTTAATAATATCTAGTATCTAGTATTTTGATTTAAAATGAATGGTTTGGATCTACTGTGTGTCAGGTATTCAGCTACGCAAAGTAGAAGAACAGCGTGAACAGGAAGCTAAACACGAGCGCATTGAAAATGACGTTGCCACTATCCTGTCTCGCCGTATCGCTGTCGAATATAGTGATTCCGAAGATGATTCAGAATTCGATGAAGTTGATTGGTTGGAGTAAGAAAAACACATTGATAAATATAACAAAACTGAATGCAAATGTCCTTTGTGGTGCTTGTTCCTTGAAAATGTTTGGCCATTCTAGTGTTCTGCTTTCTTTTCCTTATAATAAATAACCCCTTTCCTTTATAATTTTTGATTTCTAAGAAAGATATTAGCATACATTTCAAACTAAATGTTTTATAGTGGCTTATCTTATTTTTTTCCCTGAAAAGAGAATTTGGTCAAATAAACCATTAAATATTAAGCATGGACAGCTGTTGTTAGAGTAGCAGATTCAGTTTTTTGATATATCTTAATTGTGTACTTTGTGAATTTTAATTTAAAGAAAGCAACTGAGATTGAAATCTTGAGGGCAGCTGTGTCTATTAATGAGCCTTATTCCATTTTATGGTATTTTGATAGGAGAAACACTGCATTGATTATATGGATACACTCAGAAAGTCATTTAGCTTGTAGTATTGAATTCTCTTAAAGGAATGCTTGAATTTTTTAAATTATTGTTTTATTATTTTTAAATACTTGCCTTATTTGAATGTTTAGCAGTACTCCCCTCCCTTCCTACTTATATATTGTGTGATAAATTTCAACTTCAATAGTTAATTTTAAAACAATCAATTATCATTCCTTTGTCCAT